GAGGGCCACGCGAGGGCGCGCGCGCAGCCCGAGGCCCGGCCGGCCGGACCCCAGACGCTGCCGACCCCTCGGCCGCAGAGCTCCGCATCCACACCCAACACCCGCTTGCCGCACAAGCGCCCACGCTCATTTCCTCTTTGACTCGCTCGCCCCAGAGCCCCAGCAGTCCTGGAAAAACGTTTATTTGTGTAACAAAGAGGGGCGGGGGCGGGGGGCTACTTCTTCTTCCTGGCCGCCTTGAGCTTCCCTTCCATCAGCCGCTGGGCCTGCTTCTTGATCTCGGCCCGCGAAGGGACGTAGCTGTGGTCCACGTCAGCGAACTGGAAGGTTTCTAGACAGGGGTGCGGGGGCAGCGGCTCGCAACCCCCCAACCCCGTGCTGGCTGCGACCTCGGGTCCCTGCTCCCCTGTGAGGCGGCCTCTCGTCACAGCCCCAATGGCACTCACTACGGTTTCCTGTTTTCCGTGTTCTCGGAACTCTGGCATGTGTGTGTCCCCACTGACGGGGGTAGCAACTGCCCCTTCCGGGGCCAGCCCATCAGACAGAGCCGAGGGTTCCAGGAGCAGCCTCCATGGACACGCCGGCCTGTCCAGAGCCATGCCCCAGCCACCTCCTTTACCTAACTCAGCAAACCAGGATTAACCCTGCCCTAGAGCAAACCAGGGCCAGGTACTCTGCCACTAGGGGCACCCCCTATTCCCCAAAGCCCACGAAATTATTCAAATTAGCCCATCCTAAGCTTCTTGCCCTGGCCTGCCTTGCCTCTCTGGCAGAAACCCCAACAAAGGCTCTGGCCTAGGCCTTCCCTGCCTGGCCCTGTCTGGCATGGCATGCCCTCTCCTCTCTGGAACATTAGGGGATGAATTCTTCATTCCATGGCTTTAGGCTCTCCTTGTCATCACGAAGTCACCTCCATCAATTAAAATCCTGCAGGTACAACTGATGCACATTCAGTCCCTGTGGCCCCCATAGTCCTTCCAGGGTGTCAGACAGGAGCAAGCACCATCCCCAACCTCTGCCTGTGCAGCTCAGACCCAAGCCTGGTTCCAGCCATCAGCCCTGCACCCGCCTCCCCAGTCCAGGAGCTGTACCTATCATGTCCTCCTCTAGGTCCTCAAAGCTGATCCTGGTGTTGTGCTGCTCCTTCAGAGTTGAGGACTCCAGGGCGTCGCTCACCTTCGTGTTGACCTGCAGGGCACAGCCCCCCTTCAGCTCTGCTGGCACCGAGGGCTGTCAGATCTAAGGGAACACGGGCTGTGTAGGCACCTCCCGGCCCAGGACTACCTCCTCAGTCCTGGACATTGCCTGCACTCTGTCGGCCAAGTACATGAGCTTCCCCTCGCAGTACGCCAGCTTGCTGTACAGATCGGGGGTGTCGGAAGGCGCCACTTCTTTCTGTAGGCCAGGAGGAGGGTCTCATCTCCTCTCTGGCTCCAGCCAGGGACTCTCTGTACAGACATCTCCTCCCCACTCCACTGGTACCTGGGCCCTGGGCAAGGAGACGCCGATCAGCCGGATGTAGAGGTTGTCAATGCCCGTCTGGATGGTCAGCAGCAGCTGCTGGCTCTTGGTCATGTTGGTGAAGGCCAGCTGGAGCCTTTCTTCTTCCTCTTTCAGCATGTCCTTTATCTTCTCCTCAATGGACGGAAAGCTGTGGAGGACAGCGGGGAGCTCAGCAGGGGGTGGCTCAGATTGAGGGCCCACGGAGGGCGAGGAGGTCAGGTCCAGAGTCAGATGCTGTGTCAAATGCAGGGGCGGAAAGCTGTGGAGGACAGCGGGGAGCTCAGCAGGGGGTGGCTCAGACTGAGGGCCCACGGAGGGCGAGGAGGTCAGGTCCAGAGTCAGATGCTGTGTCAAATGCAGGGGCTAAGGAGCTCAGATGTGGGTAGGTGGCATCCCCGGCACATCTGCAGAGCGCACACAGACTGGTTTGCAATGAATATGCTCCCAGCTGTTCATGGGGGCCCCAGTGGGATGGTCCAGCAGCCTTGGAAGACCCCGGATACCTGATGGAGCCGGGCCTCTGGTGGAACTTGAGCATTGCCTCCTCAAGTTCCAGCTTCTTCATCAGGGCCTCCAGCTGCACCCGCCTCTCCTCACAGCCCTCCATCTGCAGCTCCAAGTTCTTCTCGGTGTTCCTCTGGGCCAGGAACTGGCCGGTGATGTCCTGGCCAGTCCAGGGGAGAGAGGAGCAGGTGTGGGACAGGAAGGCAGGGCTCCATACCACTGCTTTCTTCTGGACCCCTCTCAGTGGCCAGTGTTGTCTCTCTGCACTTGGGGCTTAGTAATGAAGCTGACCACACTGGGGACTTGGGAGGAGCCAGCCACGGGGTGATGGGGTGAGGCGCTCTGTGTGTGGCACTGCGTGCAACCTCCAGGACAGGCCCTCATGCCCTGGGTGCCAAGGAGCATTACCCAGAGGTGAGAGCACCGCACAGCAGACTTGACCTTCTCCACAAAAGCAGTCACATCTGTCTGATATTCAATATCGGTTCTGGAGGTCTCTTTTTTCCTCACTGAGCAGAGCAGAGGATGCAAGGATGGCAATGGAGTTTTGTGCAAGGCCATCGGGGAGGCCACCCAAGGAGCTGGGTGCCCTTCAGCATCACCTAGGCCTGGCCCTTCAGGGATGCCCAGGGCAGCCTCAGTGCAACAGGTGAGGAGCGGTGGGGGTGTCCAGGGTATTCGTCCTTTCTGAGGAGTCACTTGGTGACCAGGCCCTGGAGTGCTGGGGGCCTCTCTGCAGCCACATTTGGCTATGGGCTCTCAGCCTCTGCAGGGGTAGCCGGGGAGAGGCAGGGACTCGTTGGTGAGTGAATGTAGTGAATGTAGTTTACACCTGGCCTCACAGTGACCTGACTGGGTGGCCTAGGGCCGGCCTTGGAGACCCTGGCTGGGACAGGCAGGCAGCTGAGCACTTACCTCTCGTGATTTCCGAGCCCATCAGATTGGTGGGGAAGTCCAAGTCCGTGTGGCCCTGACGGGAGGAGGAGGAGGAGGGGTGAGGAGCATCCTCTGCAGGGAGTGGGCCTGAGAGGCGGCCCCGAGCGGAGTGTCCACCCAGTTCTCCCCGTGCTCCGTGGGGTGGCGGAGGGGCCGCGCCTGCTGTCCTGGCCTGGACTCACCCGGCGGTACTTCTCGCTGGTCTCCTTGGTGTGGATCCTGTCGATGAGCTTCTTCCGCTGGTTGAGCCGATTCTCCCGCGCCCTGCGCTCCTCGATGAAGGTCGCCTCCCCTTGCCTCATGTTCCTCTGGGGACACAGAGGGGCACGGGGGGCGGGGATGGGTGTCTCACCAAGGCCATGGTGCTAACACCAGTGGTTGGTTTTCAGTCCTCATCTTATAGGTTTTGGAACAGCATTCACCACGCCTCCTGCTGCCCACTGCCTCCTGCGATGCCCCTTTGCCTCTCGGCTCAGGACCCCCAGCCCACGCATGCTCATGGGTTTCTCTCTCCAGCCCAGGCACGCCACTGTCCTCCAGACCCTGCCTGCAACTGCCTTTTGCCAGCTCCACTTAGAACTCACTAAAGTGGATTCAACATGTCTAAAAACAAACTCATCATCTTCCCCCAAACCTGGTCTCTCCCGGCATGTCCTGCTTTTGGTGGCTAAAACCATCCTCCATCTCCCCTCGCCATTCCCTTCCTTGAAGCCCACTGGGTTACATCTTAAAGGCTTCTCAGCTCCCACTTCCACTTCCAGCCACCCACACTCCACCTCTGGCCTGCCCAAGGGACCAGCATTTCTGCCCTGGCACCTTCTAGTCCCTGCAGCCAGGGTGTGCCATTTTTGAAGCACCGATCTGATTGTCTCCCCCTCACTTCCTCCCGGGGCTCCAGGTTAGGTGCTCGGGCCCCAGCGGGCTCCACTGCCTCCCCTGGCTCACGGGACTATCCCCTGTGCAGCCGCTCCCTGGCCCCAGGGCTTCGCCTTTGCTGTCCCTCCTCCTCTCAAGCTCCGGCCACCCTGACCTTTGCTAGTTCATTCCTGCAGTGCCCATCTCAAGGACCGCCTCCTTGGAAAGCCATCCTAGACCTCCCTAAGCAGGTGAGTGCCCCAGACGCGCCCCGAGAGCCCTACGCCTCTCTCTGCTGTGCTGGCCCAGCGGCTATGTGACCCTTCTTCGTGGGCTACTGGACGAGCAGCTCCCTCTCACACTGCCCACTTCAGGAGGAGGGGCACACGCACTCCAGCCCCTGCTGCATCCCCACAGCCAGGCAGGGGCCTTGGCACAGACTGGGAGAATGGGTGACACCCACTGTGGCCAGGCCAGTTCTCTCCCCCACAGCTTCTGTGCCCAATTGGAGCCCCTCTGTCCAGTGGGTAAGCAGAGCAGGCGGGCAGAGCTGGTCGCTGGATTCCTCCAGGGATTGCAGGCAATGTGGGCATGGGGTGTCCCCATGGATCCTGGGCCAGACAAGTCCAAGACAGCTAGCCCTGGAGAGCCCCCAGCCCTTGGACCTGCCCTCACCTTGACCTCATCTGTAATCATCATGGCGTCTTGGGACATGACTGTCATATCTGACAGCTCTGAGCAGTAGTCAGACACGAGGTTCTGCAGCTTGTCCAGCTCTGTGGGATATCCTTCCAGCACCTGCATTGAAAGGGCAAAGCAGGTGGGCACGGGAGCCATGGGCTCAGATGCTGTCCCTGCTCCATGCCAGCTTCCCTGATGCCTCCCCAGTTTTCTTGAGGCCCCTACACAGAATGGACCTTGCCTGCCTCCTACCCTTCAACCCCAGACCGTGTGAGCCCTGAGGACAGTGACGGGGTCTAGTCTGTGGCCTCAGCCCCCAGCCAGTCACAGAACAGGTGAAAGGAAGTGTTTCAGGAGGGCTAGATAGTGCCGGCCTGGTGGGTTCTCTTCCACTGCCCAGGGCCCGACAGCTCTGAGACACTTGGGGTCTAGTCTGTGGCCTCAGCCCCCAGCCAGTCACAGAACAGGTGAAAGGAAGTGTTTCAGGAGGGGTAGATAGTGCCGGCCTGGTGGGTTCTCTTCCACTGCCCAGGGCCCGACAGCTCTGAGACACTCTCAAAGAGGTTGTGATGAAATAGTCTGCTGCAGGAAAGGATGACTCTGAAACCCAGGGAGGTCCTCTGCTTGGGAGCAGCTTTGGTCTGAAGTGAATTAGAGGGGCTTAAAACATGGGTTTGGGGTCAGAGTCAGGGCTTAAAGCCGAGGCCACTCACTCCGACCAGCTCGCTGTGTGACCTTGGGAAAGTTACTTAACCTCTCTGAGTGTTCCCATTTGTAAAAAGGTGATAATGGCTCTTTCAGAATGCTGCTATCAGGATCATTTGAGAAGGTAAAATTAAATATTTAGCACAGGGCAAGGGGCATAAATGTCCAAAACAGTCTGGGTGTTAGTATTTTGTTGCTAATAACTATAAATATAGAATCTTTGCCACTTTTTCAAAAATGTGCATGACCATGGAAAAATGTTTTTAAGTGTGTATGTTCTAAAAAGACAAAGGTACTAATTACCAGGAGGACATTTAACACCCAGGTGAAGGAGGGGCTGGACTTCACCCACATGGAGGAGGGGTGTGGGGAGAGGTGAGGACAGGGGTGGGCCCAGGAAGAAAAGGTGGGCATGGCCTCCCAGGTGAGTCTCCAGAAGAAGGGGCCTGAGGGACTGACAGGAGGATGGAGCTGAGAGCCGCCTGGTACCAGGAGCCATGGGCAGGAGCCAGGGGATGGGGGACCAGCAGGGAAGAGCTGCAGTGCGCCACCCACCCGCCACCCCTGATTCTCCCAACACAGTGCCCTCCAGGGCTCCCCTTTGCCCAGTCTTAAGGTGAGTGTGTTTGTGGGGCTTCCCCTGCCCACCTTTCTGGGCTTTTGGCTCCCACGGCTCCTCTCTGTCCCTGCCCCAGACACCAAGCTGCTGCTCTCAGCACCCTGGCCTCCACCCTGGAGCCCCTCCTGTCCTCCTCCCCATCTGCCATCCTGCTTTGTGGGAGGCCAAGGGACAGTGCTGAGCTTCCCCTGAAAGGGGTCTTGCTTCACATCAGACTCCTGGCCCCCCAGGGCTTCCAGGGGCCAGGATCTGCTGCTGCTTCCTGGCCTTGGCCACGGAGAGCAGGGTGGGCTGGCTTGGTTGGGCGGTGGGCCTGGCAGCCCCTTAAAAGTGCTTGTTTCCTGGCCTGGCAGCCCCTCAAAAGTGCCCAGAGGCTGCCTGCCCTGTAGCATGTTAGTGGACTTTCTGTGGGTCTCCGATACTCAGAGGCCCAAGCAATGAAAAAAGATGAGAAAAATACAAACAATACTAAACCACTTAATACATGCAAGAAAGTCCAAAGAATTGTGATACACCCCACACCATGCTTTTTTGGAACAACAAAATCAAGTTCTTAAAAGAATATTTTTCACATACTATTATATTACGTATTACTACAGTAACTATAGTGATATGTAAATTTATTACATATTGCTGCTTAGCTGGTACCCAAAGCCGGCCTCCGTCTTCCCGCCAGGTGAGCCCACCTGCAGGAGAGCTGCGGGCCTGGGGGGCGGCCCTGCCCCAGGAGGCTCCCGTCCCACCGAGATCCCGCCGGGCTGGCTCCCTGGGGCGGGGGTGCGGCCGCGGTCGAGGGGCTCACTTTCTTCAGGTAATCCAGCAGGTCCACGTACAGCAGGTGGATTTTCTGGCTCGTGGTGATCTTGACCGTCGTCTTTTCGATGCTGTTCTCCAGCTGGCGGATCATCTGGGGCAGGCCGAAGGCACGATGCGAGCGCGTGGGGACGGCGCCGGGCTCCGGGCTTTCTTCCCGGGGCGTCGCGCTCGCCCGGCCCCGCCCCCCGTCC